TTCGAGTGTTGCTATAAAAAGAAGGCAATTCACCCACTGTATTATTCGGCAGACGAGTCACCAGCTTAATTGCCACAGTATGGACACAAACTATGGCAGGGATTAAAAGAAATTAACATCATTTCCTGTTTTTCGTTGTGCGGAATTGATATAGATGATGGAATGGTGCTACGAAAAAAGAATTATATATGAACAAGAATTACTCATGTTTGTCATTCCCAGGCTACACACAAAAAGTTTGAGTTATTTACGGCTCAACAAAAAAAATTTGAATTTTATATTTTGAGATGCTCATCGAATACTGTCCCTTGCTTGGCGCCAGTTGCACATTAGACGAGACGAGGAAGATTCGGTCACAAGTCAAGTGTCATCAGCTACGATTACCATAGGAGGCACTCTAACGAATTACGCATAGTATATCAGAGGGTTCGCTTTGCAACCTAGACACCCGGGTTACTGCCCCAAGCGACGGGCTTACACCGTGATGTAAAAATCATTCATCTGTAAAAATTGTAATCAAGGTATTTCAACTTTTCTGAAGTTTTTAAAAAAGTTGAAATACCGTGATTACCATATATATATATAATATATATATATATATCCTCTACCTGATATCTTTCAAGATTTTTGAACACATATAGAATAAATACTATAATGATATTCTGTTTTTCTTCGTTCGATTTACGTCTTGCTCTTTGCTGGTCCTAGAAATCTTGACAACACCTGATGTTGTTGCATGATTGCAGACTTTAATTTAGTTAACGTCTATTAGTTGTAGTCTACTTTCTGTTTTTTTTTTGTCTGAAAATTTATAGGTTTTATAATTATTTACTTCTATTTGTTCTACTTGGTTACTGCATATTTGCTATGCAATCTTTATTATAAGCTGCAAGCGTAGGCCACCAGACAGCATACGTTATCTCAGAGGGTCAGTGGAGCTTGAGACAATAAAGATAGTCTTGATGAGACTCCAGTCATGACTAATCTGTCGGTTTTTGCAAACTCGCTTCTCAAACTGTACGTGCTCTTCTTGACTGAGATTTAACCATTTTCAGTTAAGGAAAACACATGCGTTCAGAGAACAGTATTTCCTGCTAGAGGAGCATTGTTTATTGGGACTCTAATTCAGAGAATGCTTGTACACCACACGCTGTCAACTGCGTAATGATGCGAATGATGAAAGATGCTAAAGAACAACAGAGAATTTCAAAATTACGGAAGATTTCAAAGATTAGTAGAAAAGGGCCCCAAGAATTGCAAAGCAGATGGACATTAATCGAACGTCGTTACTAACATTTTGGTAGCAATTCTTCACTGTATGTCAGCCGCTTATACCTTTGCGCCATCAATATTAGTGTGACTGTCCGTCTCTCCTAATATGCAGGTTTCGGGTTCTGTGGGGTGAGTTTTCATGTGCCTCACTATGCCAACCTATGCGCAAAGTTGACTTGCCTGATTGTCTGGGTGAGTTGGCTGTGCTCACTGCTATTCTCACCTAATTGTCTAGCACATCGGTACTGTCCAAGCGGTTTTTTGACTTATCTGATCATATTCAGTATCTCTTCCAGACTGGACAATTGATCCTTTTGCCACACAAGCTCGTTTTTGGTTAGAACGGGCACAACTTAGTGATGCCTGTGTGCCAGTCTCTTGTTAAAGTTATCGGTTAGAAAGCACTTCGTAACAAGTGTAGACATAATAGTTTTAGAAGATAAAACAGAAGTGCTTCCTATTTGGAACAGTTTTCTTACACTATCAGCCAACAGATACAATGCTATCCACCGGTTGAATTGGGCTAAATCTTGCTAAAACCAACCGAATACTTCAAATTTCATGGTGAAAGATCCGCTTAACGTGGAGAAAGGCTCGATTAACGTGATCGAAAATGTCAGACTCATGAGCTATTGTCAACAATCCTACTGAAGACGTTCCAAAACCATCAAGCTGTGATACCGGTAGACAAATTGGTTGTTAGACTGGCTTAAAAGAATTCCCATGGAATTACTGTCTATCTTCAGCTACCTCGGGTAAAGCTTCGGAAACCAACTGACATTTGATCACTTTTATGGGGCGGTTACTCGATTGACCATATCTGATATGCAACTGATGATAATAGCGTCCCTCCATCTCGACGAATAATCAATCAGTGTACCTTCGTGACGTCCCACAGATTTTGTTGTACAACCTGATCTTGTACAACCACACTTTACTGCAGCTGTGACATGTGAAATGAACGTTAGTTTTTGCTTGTCTCGATACATTCAATGAAGAAGTAAAAAATAAGATGCAGAAATGTTCTGAAGTGAAAATGTTCGAACCAGCATTAGCCAAATGCTCGCTGTTTAGTAGACTTGTCCTCAACGAGTGTATTGGCATTCACTGTTGGATTTTGAAGGCTGAAGTTTGGAGCAAATTGGGTGTGGCTAACCAGTTGAAAGGTTCGAAACAACAGAATCTTTAGACATGTTCGAGGTGAATCACAGAATTCCCTGTGGAACCTCTCGAAGACTCGTTGGACAGTAAAAGATGTTGAAAAATTTAATCGAGGGAACACACAGTTCAGCTGTTTAACACGACAGCGAACAGTTCCTTCTGCAATTTAGAAATATATGCACTTTGTGTTGGAATATACAAGGTACTAAATGTCAGTAAAAAGATATCTGATAGCTGTGTCATTCAAACGTACATGCACAATTTTCACACACAGTTTTAAAAAATCCGGATACAACAAAATGTATTTTGTGACATTTATACTGTTTGCATACCGAATGATGATTTGCATTTCGTGTTTTATTGCAGAATGGGCTTGTTTATCTCTTCTCCTGGAACATACTGGGTAGAGACGGTTAGACTGGTTAAAGCGGGCTGTTGGAATATGACCACGTTATCCATGATATGCTTGAAGGACTGTGACTAGCGAGCCTTCATGGTTTGTTCCGATTGGTTGGTAACTGGAATGAAGCCATGAACCAACGCAGAAACCTGCTCACAGATGTTGTTCTAGTGGCATACCGTAAGTGCCTGTCGTAATACAACTAGTAAGTACCGGTAAACTATTGAAACAAACCTTATTTAGATTACTGCTTTAAGTTATACTTACTAATGAACATCAAGCTAAAGAGTGATATCGGGAGTGGTATGGAAAAACTCGTCCTATTTTGTCCACTGTTCAAATGCACTCACTTGTAGCCCTTCACGTGTAGACAGGTCTGCACCTGTGCCGTTTCATAGAGGGGCTTGAGATGTTCGACCTGAAATTCAGTTGATCGTCGTCTGTAACTTTCGGAAAATTTAGCTACAAACCGTTCCATAAACAATGCAGGTGCGTGCGTACATGTAAAGTAAGCGTCATACTGTGTGATCATATGTGCTTTAGCCAGTTTTTACAAACAACGCAGCCGTTGCACACATGACCAATAGAAGTCGGGTCATCCCGCTCAATTTTAGGTTAGTATCTCCAGGCAAACAAACCAGATAAACCGTGACCATGTTCTGCACTTACCTAGACAACCAGTTTGTTCATGTCGGAAGAAGGCCAGACCACCACGACGGATATAACATAAGAATGTTGCGTTAGTTTGCAGGATTTAATGGTGAACCTCGGAGGTTGTATGAACGTTTAAATCGGGACGTCCAATCTGCTATTCAGTTTAGATGAGACCAGATTATGGAACTTCGGGGCTTTGGCTGGATTCGAACTAGGCAGGCGCTATGAATATATACTATAACAACCCCGACTGCCCTGAAATTCAGTTGATACCACGTCTGTAACCCTCATCGGAAAATTGCATACAAACCGTTTTCATAAACAACTGAAACTGCGTACGCCACGTAACACTGATAAGGTAAAAGCCGTCATCACCTGTGTGATCCAAAAATACCCGACTGCTATAGCCAATTCCTAACTACAAACGACACAGCAAGAGTCATCTGTATCGCACAACCCACAATCGAAACAACAAATCTACGCAAGTACGGAGTAAATACAACGGCATACACCACATTAATTAAAGAAGAACTATTCAGTACTAGACCACATCCAAGGACAAACCAAACCAGATAAACCGTGACCATGTTCTGCACTTACCTAGACAACCAGTTTGTTCATGTCGGAAGAAGGCCAGACCACCACGACGGATATAACATAAGAATGTTGCGTTAGTTTGCAGGATTTAATGGTGAACCTCGGAGGTTGTATGAACGTTTAAATCGGGACGTCCAATCTGCTATTCAGTTTAGATGAGACCAGATTGTGAAAGTTCAGGGCTTCGGCTGGATTCGAACCAGCGACAGAAACACCATGCCTGAACGCGGCAAGCGCTCTACCAGCTGAGCTACGAAGCCACGCCAGAAGCTCGGAAATTTCACATTTGGACTCGGTTACCCACCCGTCCCACTGTCTCATATGGAATCCACCAAATGATCCAAGGGATCGACTGCCCAACAGGATTTCTCGAACAGTTCACGCTGGAATCCACCAACGCCACTGTTGAGCATTGACGCTGTATTACTAGTGAGTAGTTTGGCTGGTTTGAAGGTTTAAGTGAGACCCAGTTGTGAAAGTCAATGCCTCGGCTAGACTCGAA